AAATGTTTAAACCCTGAAAATTAACAAAAATATTTTCTAGATATGAAACCGAATACCAAAAAGATTTAAGTGTAATTTTATATACAAAAATATCATAGAAACACATATAAAAGGACATAACAACAAGCTGAAAAAAGAGTATAGTTAACAATAACACAATAAAAAATAAAATAGAATATTTTTTCGAATAACATCTCTTTTGTGACTGTTTAAATTTAAATTTAATACTATTGACTTTGATTACTTGATTTTTGTAATATTTATACAAAATAGGATATTATAGGTTATACGTTTATAATCCTAAAGATCGATGATTCGAATTTTAAATACTGTTAAACTCTATGATATCCCACACGAGTATAGAGGGAGATAAAATATAAATTGTTAAAAAAAATCTATTATATGTATGTCGTTTGTAGTCTAAGTAAATATTGTAAACCTGTTGTATGATATTTCTACCAAATTGAATTTGAATTCAATTTTACTTTAGACAATAACAAACATCTTAACATCCATACATCATCCTCACACAAACTTTTGAGTTAATTGTTGACGAGATACCTCCTTTTATAAATTAATTTATTATTGACACATGTTTAGCTTGGAAGTAGATGGCGCTGTATGAATTAACCAGGGTTATTTTTATTATTTATAATATGCTATATCAAAAACACTAGGAGTATGTATATATAACATGTGGTGTTTTCCTTATACTTACCTTCGTTTACGTCTCACAATAGCATGTTAAGTAAACAAAGTCTTTTTAGTAAATAATGTTAGGCACCAACTTTGATTACGCACTCCACTGAGCCACTGTTAATTAAGTACCAAGTACATTCTCGCCAGCGAAATAAGTATAATTGATTACCACTCTTTGTTGGACATAAAAGTGTTCGAAGAAAAACGTTACAATACTAAGAAAAATGGTCGGCCAGCCTGACGGTGGGTAACTTAATGTAGATAAATGCATGTACTGAGTCAGTCTCGAACGATCTGCCTTTTGAGGTTTAATGATCTTTTTAATCGATTGGGAATGGAGAATTTCAAGCATACAGCCCGCCCGAAGGCAAGGTAAAGGATCACAACACCACATTCATAATTTGAATTGCCGATTCTTATCATACGGTAATAATCGGCAGTCACTTTGGTTCTAAAGATTACCATAGAAGTCAAATGACAATACAAACACTTAATATTAATTCTATTCGAAGAAAGATAATTTATATTTTATTCTGAAAGCATACTGGGTTAGTCCACCGCTTTATTTCCGTGACGGTCACGTTCTGTTATGCTCGCTCTATACAAATGTTTGTATTTATAGTTATGGGTATATAGAAACAATACGGCTCAGTTCATTCGAAAAAAAAAATTCTATTAGGTGTTTAGCACTAATAGTACATGCTCTGCTTAGATAGGGACTAGATGGCGCTGTGTAAATTGCACTAGAGTATTAATTGTCAATATATCTATCGTGACTTCTGAACATTTTTAAATGGCCTGTCTAATTTCTGTAGTAGTCTATGCCTAATTCATCAGGGATTTCACGTACGCTAAACCTTATATACATGTATAACTTTTAAAAAATCCTAAAGTATAATCTCTAAAGAAAACCCGGCAAATAGCTCTTTCCACAATCTGAGTGTTAGCGAGAAATATCCTCTGAAACCACATTGTACGTGACCATTTAGGTTCTAAGATGTGGGAATGAATTCCCTATAGTCTAAAGTATAATAAAACTATTTTAGCTGTTAAACTTCTTGCTTTTTCAAATTATTCTTATGTTGGGAACAAAGTGACAAAACACTCCAATTATTATAATAGATCGAGGGTAAGATTATAAAGAGATTTTTTTTAATTTCAGGTACATATTGGATGAACTAAAAACATAGTTCATACAAGTACCTGTATTTTATATTAAAAAATATATAGACTTTTCCCGATCGCTCTCAAACAAGTGAAACCGGTATAGGTTGATATTAATGTAAGTGATGAAATGTATATGTAGAAGAATGTATTTGTTTTATGCACCTCCTCAAATTTCAAGGTTAATTTAGTATCTTGACATTGAGTTCGACCTCCAGACGTTTCATGACCGATCATGCTGAAAATTGGCATCGAAAAGTCTAGAATAAAATCAAATACAACTACAATATTTATAATGAAAAGTTATAAAAGTATTTATTATGTGTATGATAATTATGTAAGAATATAAAATAATCAACTACTGTTTGGATGTGGATATTTTTTTTAATTTGTTTGCTATAATACAGGGATGATTCAGCATAATAAAATAGGTAAAATTCTAAAATCTAGCTAAAAAATAGTTTTTGTAGATTTTGTTTGTGGTTGTTGACATTGGATCTGTCAGAAGATATATTTTTTTAAGGTATAAATAAATTATTAAATTATGTCCTTAAAACATGATCCGTGAATAGGAAAAACCCTGTACTTTAGGTTAAGCAGTAGTTATTTCTTAGAACAATAAGGTGACACAGAAAATATTAAATATTTATTATTGAGTAGTACTATCTTTGCGGATTTGCTGTTAAGCTTTACTGTAATATGAAGGGATTTTCTTACACACAAGATTAGCATAATAGATATTAGAAATAGGAAGATATATATAAATATTCAATTAATTACTAAAATACGGGTACTATGAGTTCTTAAATTTCACCATAAGTCAGCCATAAGTAATTTCATATCTGCCATGAAATAGTATTTTTTGTATGCTCTTATTTTGAAAGTAAACAATTTTCTTTATTTGCCGTTGTACATAGATGGGTTCTGCTGACATAGCAAACTGTCAGCATTTTTCTTTAGATATTAGTATTGGGGTAATTATTATAAATTCGTCTTTTATTACAGTTAATAATAACCCGGGAAAAGTCACCACCGACACCTAGTACCAAGCAAAGCTTGAACCATGTGTACTAAACATCTGATTGATTTAAATACTTTTTTTATTAATACATTCATAATATACATACATAGAAAACACCCAAAACTAAAAATCACAGTTATGAATTCAAATGTTTATATTTATTATTTAAAGTCACCCTTTTCTAAGTTGACTATAAATCGAGAAGCAAACGGATGCCAATTATCTTAAGTAAGACTCATGAACGTAACTCTGTACACGCGCTCACATATCTCCCATTAAGTTTTAGTGCGAAAATCCATTTATTTAACAAGGAAGCGATGGGTGTGAGGCGTAAGTTAATAATTGTCTGTGATTGTTTACTTAATTCAACCTAGTTTCGAACCATCTGGCCGGAAAGTTCGCGCAATCTAGCAACCGCTCATGAGATAACTTCCTAATTTGTTAAACTAAATAATTACAGAGTGTGCACGCATTTTGTAGCGCAACTTCTCGTACGTACGTAGAAAATGTCTTTTCGATGCTCATCTTTCTGCTCAAACTTTCACTTTCATATGAAGTAAATGTACTGAAAATTTGGGACTTGATTTGCGTCCTACCCGTTATGACATACGGTGCCGAAACGTGGACACTGACGATACGACTGGTCCACCAACTCAAAGTCGCTCAACGAGCTATGGAAAGGGCTATGCTTGGAGTTTCTCTGAGGGATCAAATCCGTAACGAAGTAATTCGCCAGAGAACTAGGGTCACCGACATAGCTCTTCGTATTTGCAAGTTGAAGTGGCAGTGGGCTGGTCATATCTATCGTAGAACCGATGCTCGCTGGAGTAGGCGTGTTCTAGAGTGGAGACCGCGAATTGGCAAACGTAGTGTAGGACGCCCCGCAGCTAGGTGGAGCGACGACATACGTAGGGTTGCGGGTAAAAAATGGAAGAGAAGGGCTGAAGATCGTGCCCAGGGCGTGCCTTGGGAGCAGCCTATGTCCAGCAGTAGACTGCAGTGGGCTGATGATGATGATGATGATGATACTTGATACTAGGTTATCACGTATTACTCATGGTTTTGTAGGTGACAGTGAGGTACCGGTTAATATATACATAAATATAGTTTTATACTGTTTATATGTATGTAATGTGTGTTGTTCATTATCATTAACTTGTAATATTAGCTATTATAATTTTTTTACCATTCTGTACTAACGTTATCTACATCTTTTGACTTTTGTCCTCTAACCATAGGTTGTCTGGAAGAGATTGCATAAGCGATAAGGCTGCCTTTTGTACACTATTACTCTGTTAATTTTTAATACATATAAAAAAAACACCATAATATAAAAATATACGAGTATTATAACAAACTTCTTTTGTGCGCTTTTAAGTACGAGACTAAATTTACTTTCATGTGTATCTCTCAAAGGACTACTTTACTGTCTAATTTGGTTCTTGTGAAGGTCTTATATAAAGTAAAATTATATATCTTAATATTATTTTGATATTTGTAAACTTACGGACCTTTTTTAGGATAATCCGATATTTCTATAAGGATTTTCCCTTTGCAGTAGGTGACTAAAATTTTACCTCTGTGATAAAAATAACACAAACTGCACAAATTTTCATCCCCTATTACATGTGGATGTAATAGAGGATGAAAGAATAGTTTTTGGGAGAAACCGTCTTTTCGCACAAAAACAACATTTAACTATATTATTTTGTATTACCAAGAATAATTATTGAAAGATTCCTCATCTAGAAATTAATTTATAAAATACTAAGAAATATTTTTTCAATGACAATTTAAGTAATCAATGAGTTTTAGTCTTTTAGATATTTTATTGTAAATATAACTGAAAATAATTATTAGTCACATATTATGTAATAATCGTGGAACTGTTTTATGTGCCTTTAAGGCAATGGTTCCAAGTTACATCAGGTAGGCCGTAAGCTTGTTGACCATTCCATACACAAAAAAATACTAGAAGCAGTTCGATCAAATATGTGAGCAAATTACTCATTGTATTTCATCCTGATTAAAACACAATCTGAGTTTTAGAAATAACTGTATTTAAAACCACGCTTCGAGCATTGTATAAATTAAAAGTAGTAGAATATTCACTTACCGCGATACAAAAAGTTCAGAGCTCTAATTCTCTTTCTTGATGTACGACCTGCAACAAAGTTTTTTCATTAACAATTTATCATCCTTGATATTTTTAGGTAGAACGATATATATTTATTTTTATAATTATTATTCCCATTGGTCGCAATAGCATTAATAATGATAAAAGTTAATGGATAGCCGTTTAGATACAAGTTTATCTTTTACAAAACTAATAGATTACTTGACTAGGCTTCAGACACTGAATCTATTGTTCACTTATTCGCTGACTATTCGGGTCGGTTATATATTTTAAAACTCTGTGTGTATAATATAGTGTATAGTATAATAAAAGTGTGTATATGCAACTGAAATGCGAATGTTGAGGTGGATGTGTGGTGTGACAAGAATGGATAAGATAAAGAATGAATACATTAGAGGAAGTATGAAAGTGGCGCCGGAGTCAGAGAGGTTGAAGAGTAATCGTCTATCATGGTATGGACATGTAATGCGTAGGAATGAGGATAAAATTTTAAGAAAGGTGTTACATATGAATGTGGATAGTTATAAGGGCAGAGGAAGGCCGAAAAAGAGATGGATGGACTGTTTGAAAGATGATATGGTAAGAAAGGAAGTAAATAACGCGATGACTGCGAACAGGGTTGAATGGAAGAGAAGAACATACTACGCCGACCCCAAATAAATGGGATAAGGAAGATGCAGATGATAGTGTGTATATACACTAAAGTTTGTAAAATATGTTACTGGTCGCTAAAAAAGCAAACAATCTTTTAAATAAAAATGAAAGGCTACTGTAATCCCGCAGGTTATTGTTTTTTTTTAAATATAATCATTAGATACAGTGATCCGCTTCTTACATGTACATTCAATAATTATTTTATATCCACAATTTCTATATTAGATTTCAGGTCAGTATCTACTGTTACGTTGACAGGTACTATGTATGTAGTTTATAGAGAGACAACCTGTACATTCGGTTAAGTTCCCGCATGGAGTGGCTATTAGTATGCCACTCCAGCCATTCAAATTTTACTAAATTTTCAAAATTCAAAGATATGAAATCATATTATATAAAAATACTTCTTAAAAACAAGCGTTAATATAGATTGGCGAACTGATGATCTGTAGGGTCCAAAGGGGAAACTGTATAATAAATGTTAGGCAAGTAATTAAAAAAATATGCAAATGAACTCTAATTTATGGTTTCCTTTCAAAATGATAATAGATTTACTAGATAAAGAATCATCTAAAATAGGATAACTCTGGTAATCGTTATAAGCTATTTTTCACCTTCTAACTGTGAGTTATATGTATCATCCATGCAATGAAAATATTACAAAGATTTTAGTTTAATTAAAACCAAATAAAAGCTTGAAAATTAATGAATAGACTATTATTATATAAAATACAAGACAAATTGAAAGTTCGTTCAAAATCCGACTCTGTTGTTAAATAATCTAATACCAATATTACATTAGAATAGAATAGAATAGAATAGAATAGAATATTGTTTAACAACAGAGTCGAATTTTTGTTGATTGATGTTGATAGCAGAATTACTGTCTCCAAAGACAGTAATTCTGCTATCAACATCAATTAATTGTCATTATACAAAACACCGGATTCGTATTAAATTACTCCACTTAAATCTAATTGTACAGTATTATATTATTTTTTATATTTAGTATTGGCTTTCCTAAACAGTGGTTGATAGATCCCATTAGAAAGATTAAATGTATAAAATTCTTTTAATTCTTCTGCTACAAACAATATAATTGTTTTTCTGAGATAGATTTTGCATAAACTCTCCTGCATTCTACTCTATTTTACCTATTTCATCCATTAAGATGACAACTTAAAATTTTAAAGTTAAAAACAATTTTAAAATTTTATGTTGTCATCCTTTAAGTTAGTATTAACTTAATTTAAAATCCGTTAAGTTAAGTTAAAACTAACTTTATTAACTATTTTTCGGTTTACATATTACATATGGCAGTTAAATTACAAAGTGCAGAGGAGACACATGTATCTTCTTGAATGGCATGCATTAGGGGTTCATATCACAATTATGATGACGACGTGATATCAGTGTAGATACGAGCTAAGTTATGCCGTTAAGTAAGTTAAAATTGCCGTGAGTCGCTTCGAAAAATGCATGAAAGTGCTACATGTGGCGGGTGCACTAACGTGCCCGCTGATATTAATTCTTTACGGACTGTTGCACGCTACACACCTCGTAGTATTTGCTTTTTATTTTAATTAAAATAAATATTTTTTTACAATAGAAGTAGGCTAATTTATTCTTTATAACATTAGCATCTGCGAGTGTAAGACCTGTTAAAATCGGTCTAGCCACTTCAGAGATTAGCACAAACAAACAGATATACAGAAAAAATAATTGATGAAAGAACTGCGTATACTTTCGTATACATTTAAAAAAGCTGTCATTTGGAAATTACAGGTGTCAATTTTATTAATTAAGTACAGTAGTATAGATATTTATATCGAATGATTTTATTGTGCTCTCTGGTCGTTTTAAGTAGCAGAATCGTAACAGACACTAAAATTGTTAAAAGCATGAATTGGAGTGATATAATCTTGCACATATTATACTAGCTATGTAATACCTGCGAGATCATATGCTATTTTTGAAATAAAAGATATTCTATATCTATCCACGTAATCATAAAAATAATCTAACATATCTTCGAATAAAAGTTCATTGCGAGTCTATTAGGGGAGTAGTTTTATAACGTTAGAATGGATAGTCCGTTGATACAGAAGAGTGAATTTGATATTAAAATTTGCTTTAAATAGAAATAACTGTAGTTATTTTTACTATTACTTTCTTTAATTTCTACAAATACTGACTATTCATATCTAGATGATTCTGAAATGGCTTAACCGACGTCGTTTAATTATAGGGACATCATTACAACAACCAACTGAAACCTACTGACATCAGTTAACTTATCCCCATTTTCTATTTGCTACTCTCCTCTAATAGGAATTAACCCCGGCTGTCGCCGCTGAGGTAGTTAATTAAGGAAATCGTTACAAAGACAGATAAAAGTCTCGTCTCCAATGAGATGTCTGTAATGTCACAGGCTTTATTTTTATTTTCTTAATTTTATTCTTATTTATAATTTGTAATATCTATAATATTATTTGTAATATCTATAATATCTTCTATTTAGCAGTTTATTAAAATTGTTGAATATATATTGACTTAATTTTTGACAGAATCAAATTCTAATCACGGTGAGTAGAGGATACCGGTATCAGAGAGGTTGAAGAGTAATCGTCTATCATGGTATGGACATGTAATGCGTAGGAACGAAGATAATATTTTAAGAATGGTGTTACATATGAATGTGGATGGTTATAAGGGCAGAGGAAGGCAAGAAAGAGAGAAAAGGAAGGAAAAAGAGATGGATGTCCATCCATCTCTTTTTCAGCCTTCCTCTCCAATGAATGTCAATGTCCATCCATCTCTTTTTTTTTGTGTGAAAGATGATATGGTAAGAAAGGAAGTAAATAACGCGATGACAGCGAACAGAGATGAATGCAAGCGAATAATATTTATATAGAGACCACCAAACAGTTACTATTGCTTTATTAAACCATGCCGCTAATGCCTGGGTAGTTTGACTTGGATCGGATTTCACCATCTCCATCAATTCACCATTCTTCACCTGTGTGAGCGGAACCATGTGATTCGTTCTTCAAGTCAATTTCCATTGCGAAAGTATTTGAACCAAAAACGCATGGTGCGTTCATTAATAGTCTCCTTTCCAGAGACCCAGCGCTGATTTATTTTATTTATTATACCGTATTTAGGTAATATTTTAATAGAATTAACAATACTCCAGAGTAAAATTTCAGATCTGATAATATAAAGTACCTAATCGAGATAATTCAGAAGTAACAATCGAATGCAACTGCCGATACAGTGGACTCTGCGTACTGTGTAGTGCGGTGTATTTTCACATTTTTATATGCCTACAATTTACTGTCAATTTATTTATTAGTGCCATGAAAAACTAAATGATATAAAATATAAATAACGAACATTACTTAGACTTCGATAGTACTATTAAAAATTATTCCTTGTATCCAATTCAAGTATGAACTCACAGGTGTGTATTGTGCGTATGCAGGAAAGTTACTATTGTTAGCTAAAGGAAGAGTTCCTCGACATAATACAGCTACGATTTTATTTTTATAGAACAGAGGCCCCCCTGAATCTCCAAAACTCGTATCTTGACGGAGGTCGGTGCATCTTGGTGCTACATATATAGCAGGATTGCTACGTTTATCTAGGTTTATATCATATATAACACCAGCTCCGACTTGTAGCGGCTTCAATAGATCCTGAAGAATATATTCATTTTCATTTTCACTGTCAGTTAGGGGACCATAAGTTCGTCCATATCCTGCGTACTTTACTTCTCTACCTGTCAAGGTTTTATAATCTACCACTGAGAGTCTACCATAAACTTCCATGCGTATTGGATTAATGAAAATTAATCCTATATCATTCATAATTTTACTCAAATCATCTAATTCAATATATTCATGATACCCTGGATGAGCAATCTGCTTCAGAATTTTACTGTAAGACTTCGTAGTGTTGTGGGGTACGGTAACGTTTCCATATCTGACCACATACAGTTCCTCGTGTATACAGTGAGCGGCAGTGAGGACCCACCTATCAGCTACTAGTGAACCAGTGCAATATCGTACCCAATTCATCAATTGTAAACTTACAACGTAGGGGTATTCGTTGTTAACATTATCGGTTCCATGGATGACACGTGGCCGCCCCTGTTGCAACTCGTGAATATACGCATTACTATGGTAAATATTTGCACTGAGCAATAATAAAATATAAATTGCAGTTAACTTCATCACTGTATAGTTTCAAAATATAGTTTTATGTTTCTGATAACGTTAACTCAATATGTTTTATTTACAATTATTATGAAGGAAGTAGTCGCAATAAATATATGTTTGAATTAATAGTTAGCAGTTTCGTAGTACTAATGT